TTTCACTCCTCACAGACAACAAAGTCCACAAGAAGCAGCTCAACACTGAGGAACTGACTATTGCCATGAAATCCCTGAAAAGTGGAAAGGAAGCAGGACTCGATGTATTTCTAATGAACTATCGGTTCACTTTAGGACAAGAGCACAGGAGTGGCATCTTGACTTCTTTAATTCTTTCACGAGACCCAGGCTGTGGAAAGAGGTCCAAGTGGTTGCACTACTCAAACCACATAAATACCCTAACTGTGCAAAAAGTTACTGACCACTATCGTTACTGTAACGTTATTTATTTAAATTGAATTTAGAAATTTTGTATTAAACTACCATGGATTTAGCTCCTGCTGCCACAGTTTCAATAGAGTGAATATTACCTATGGGTGCTTGTCTGAAATTTGGAGACTTGAGGAATATGTGAAGCCCAAGTATAGTGACCCACAGACATAAGTACAAAGTCTTATCTGTACTACAAGTTTAATTAAAGCAATAAGTCACAATTACCCATGCATATACAAATCCTACAAAAACCCATGCAGTGACTAAGACTGTAGTCATACTCACATCCTCAAAGATATTTTAGGGTATGATGGCTCTCTCAATAGATGATCATTGATAGAGGGATAGCATTTTCCTGCTAGGGTTTCCTGTGGGGTCATCCGTTGGGGTTGTCCCTTGGATCTTCCCACTTTTAACTAGAGAACCTCTTTTATCTTGTTGTTCTGACCACACCTAACATCTTATACATATGCATGAGGGTTTCAACTCTCTTTTCGTTATCTGTACTTCCATACCCCATGAATTTTGGGGTGCCCCATTTTTCATAGGGGTTGGTCTTAGTTCCTCTTATTCTCATTAGCATCTATGCACAACTTATATCCTGGCAGTCAGAACTTTCCATCATGTTACAATTAGGTGTGTGTCTTCCACCTGAAACACTGTAAGTCCAAGTAAAAACCCCATATGTTGCGAGATGGCACAATCCTTGAGCATCATGAACATCTGGTCTACCATGGGGTCACATTAGATCAAATGCTGATGTTCAAAGAGCACATCGAGAAGCTGAAAAAGAAAGTGAGCACCAGGAACTGTGTACTCTAGAAACTGGCCAACACAAAATGGGGAGCTGACGCCTAAAAACTCCAAGCAACCAGTCTTGCTCAGTAACTCTACTGCGGAGTATTGCGCCCTAGTATGGTCACGCTCAAGTCATGCTCACAAAATTGATACTGAACTTAATCCTGCAAGATCATCTCAGGGAGTGTGATACTGACTCCCACACTGTTCCTGTACTGCCCCACAGGGATTGCACTGCCATCAGTGCAGCGGGATATGTTTAGTAATAAGGAGAGACAAAAACAAGTGCATCATCAAAGACACCCGCTGTGTGGACACATTATACCACCCAAGAGGCTGAAGTCCAGAAAAAGCTTTATCTCTGAAGATCCTTGACCACAAAATACAACTGTGGAAGGTTAAAGAGTAATAAAATGGCAGGAAATGCCATTGAACTTGGAGAACCAGGTTCCTTCAGAACAGCGTTCTCCAGGCGCTGAGCTCAAATGAAAATCCTGGTTTACTCTTAATTGAGTGAGAGTTGAGATGGCAAAGACTGGTGACAATATGACCAAGTGGAAGCTGAAGAATGACCCCAAATGTGAATGTGGAGAGCCTAGGCAACTGTTGAAGTGATATAGTACCCTTTGTCAACATCCTGTACCCATGGGGAGCTATTTGAGATAAGTGATAATAGTGGGGCACAGTACCCCCCCAATGGCATATCTGATAATACCAGATCTTGAGTGCGTTTTTGGAGTGATAAGCTATGATTTTTGTGTAAATAGAATTTTCTAAAGTTTATAGTTAGAAATCTTCATGCTAATATGAATAAAGGAATACTGTAAGTCTATCTTAATTTGAAGGAAGAATTTCTCTCTCCATTCTAACATAAAGGTTTGCATGTCAGACATACCCACCACATCTGTGTATCTTGGAAAAGATAATAATGAACTATAATGAGCAATGTTGTTCACAAAAATAATGTTTGCACTGTGGTAATTATCTGTCTAACTCTACTGCCACTATTTGTTACTCTTTCTACTGGATGGTGTAAAAGCAAGAAAGTAAAAACAGACACATATTAATATTTCCTTTCCTAACATTAGGGGGGGAAATGATTTCCAAATGGAAAAAGGACAAAATGGTGAAGACGTGCGCCAGATTGATGAGATTCAAATTGAAAAATAAAGCTAATTTTATTTTTTCCTCACATTTCTAATCACTCTGGCTCCCACTGTAGAACTTGGCTTGCTGTGATTAAGTGACTTGCCAGTAGAGCAGGGTGGAGAAAGGTATTCCATTTCATGGAGTATTTCAATATTTTAAAATTTGGTTTTATTTTTATTTGGAATAAAAACCAAAATTTTGAAATTCTCCATGGAAAGGAATGGAGCCCTGGCTCCAGGCTGGTCCACCTGGCAGGCTGCCTCAGGACCCGGGATGCTGGAAGCCCTTGATTCCGAGGCAGTATGCATGGTGGGCTGTCCTGAAACCATGGACCCTGGAAGTCCAGCTCCCCAGGAGTCATTCAGATGGGCTGCCAAGGAGCAAGGCAGGCAATCTGGCAGGAAAAACAGCAAGTTTCTGCCATAACTCTGTCTGGGTTCTGTCAGAACTTGGTCAAAATTAGAACCGTCTGCACAAAATGTTTACTTTTTGACAAATCAGCAAATACTAATGAAAAAACCTTCTGGCATAAGTTTTCCGACTAGCTTTAATTGTAATACACTGAGTCAGGGGCAGAGCTAGGCTAAGAATTCAGCAACTGCTGTATGCCAGTACTGGACTTAGATTACTAAAAGTCACCTTTCTCTCCTGGCATTTGGGCTGACTTGGTGTGAATAGTGACATGGAGGACAGAAAGGGTAACGTAATAAATGTAGGTAAAACAATTAATTTTCCCTTAAGGGAGCCAATTCTGTCTCTAGATTCTCATTGCAGCTCTCATTAGAGTTGTGTCAATGGGAATTGTACTTGACCATCTGAAACCATAATTTGGCACAACATATACCGAAATGTTTTACTTAGATTTACAGAATAATTCCTTAGTTTGTGCCTTATTTCTGTAAACTAGAAACTGACGAATGAATGACTGTGAATCTTTGACTGTAAACCTACTGGGCCTTAGGTCTGTCCAAAGTTACCTTTCCTCTCCTCGGATCCTGGGGTTGACCAGCGGCCAATCCAGGTCTCAGTGTAATTTAGAACAATGTAAGGGATGTTCCAAGTTACACCGAACAGTCCTGTCATGCTTCTGTTTGCTCTTGGCTTGCCCAGAAACACCTTTTATGTGCAGAAACAGGAGGAAAAATTGCTGTAGAGGCTGTTATATAGCCTTTACACCACTCAGGAAATTCCTTGCTGAGCTGTTAGGGCACAAAGAGAATGGAGCCAGGAACTGAATTAGTTTTAGATATTTGAATTAATAATATTTAGGAATAATTCTGCATACATTTCTATATTCTAGAACTCTCTTAACTTCTTTATTATTAAGGGGATACATTTTCAGAAGTGCATACGTCACATGGACTTTCACTGAGACTTGGGCTCCTGTGTCACTTAGGTGCTTTTGAAAATTTTACCCAAAGGCTTTTGTATGACAATAGGATCTTTGTTCCTTAGGCTTCATCTGCTGCTGCACCTTGTCTACACCTGACATTGTAATCCTCTGTTTATTAAACTAGAATAATTTACATAGTAATAAATTGATCTAATAAGGAGAAGATTATGACATATGGAAACTGCAGGAAAAGTTTAAACCCACAGACAGGTCCCATTTTCATGATGCATGCCTTAGTAAAACAGAGGGGTTAACATTTATATACTAGTTTGGAAATTATAGGGTTTTTTGTAGTATTTATGATAATTCTATATAACAAAGTAGCATTCTTCATAAATCTAATGAAGCCTAAATTACATGGCACATCACCACCAATGTCTCTTTCAAATCTTGGCGTCCTTATTTGAGTGAATATAATATTTTCTGGATTATCAAAATATAAATGAACACAGAAACTTTTATATTCCATAGAATCTTGTTATTTTTTTCTCAGACATATTGCATATGTTTTTCAAATCTCTAGCTATAGATCATACTTTTTTCATTAACTATATGCATAAACAAGATAAAGCACAGTGTAATGCAGTCAGTGCTCTGTTATCGTGTATTATTTCTGCTATTATATGACCTTATGACAGAGCAGAATTGCATCCATCCTTAAGAACATAAGAACAGCCATTCAGGTTTGGGAATCTCCCTAACATCCTCAGCTGTGAAGATTGAAGTAAAGAATTTATTTAGTTTCTCTGCGATGACTTTATCGTCTTTAAGTGCTCCTTTTCTATTTCGATCGTCTAGGGGCCCCACTGGCTATTTAGCAGGATTCCTGCTTCTGATGTACTTAAAAAAACATTTTGTTATTACCTTTTGAGTTTTTGGCTAGCTGGTCTTCAAACTCCTTTTTGGCTTTTCTTATTATATTTTTACATTTAATTTGGCAGTGTTTATGCTCCTTTCTATTTACCTCACTAGGATTTGACTTCTACTTTTTAAAAGATGCCTTTTTATCTCTCACTGCTTCTTTTACATGGTTGTTAAGCCACGGTGGCTCTATTTTAGTTTTTACTGTGTTTTTTAATTTGGGGTATACATTTAAGTTGAGCCTCTATTATGGTGTCTTTGAAAAGTGTCCATGCAGCTTGCATGGATTTCACTCTAGTTACTGTATCTTTTCATTTCTGTTTAACTAACGTCCTCATTTTTGCATAGTTCCCCATCTGAAATTAAATGCCACAGTGTTGGGCTGTCGAGGTGTTCTTCACTATTTCCAAGCGGTCCTGTTATAGTTACCTCCTTAAATTCTTATCTACCTTTTTTTAAAATAAAAAGTCAGTAGATAATTGTCAATTAGCATAATAAATAAATGCAAAATATTTATGTATTTAAGATGGCAGATCACACAGAAGTAATGAGAGGGATTGAGCGGCACCCTGGGGTCCAATATCCTGTACTCACCCCTAATCTTCAAGGTTTTCTTTCTGCTGTAAGTGGATTGCTAGAGTGTGTCTGCAGTTAAGTTCTTCATGTTTCAAACACTTTATGCACAGTACCATAAACTAGCTATTTCATATCATTTACCCAGTCCTGTTAGAATTAGGCTGTATTTTTTTTTCTGAAAGTGTCAGTTTTCATGAAGAAACTCACAAATTTTACAGAGCGATAAATGTAATTTTAGTGGCCAGTATCAACCACGCAGTCCTTTATAAGATGCCATAAATGTTGTAGTACATACCCTAAGAAAGAAACAAAGAATTTCTTTTCATTCTTTAGCTTGTTGATATTACAGCTGGTTGAAAATTTCCCAATAAAATGTTTTTCCATCAGAAAATGCAGATTCAGCAAAATTGAAAGTTTTTGTGGAAATACTTATTGTTGTCAGAATTTTCAATAGGAAATGACCTTTTTTTAAGTTGAAAATGTTTTGTTTTGACTATTTTATCTTATGTTATATTGTAATAGTCAAAAGGGTAAAGTTAAAACTCACAGTTTCAACCTTACTGAAAAGAAATGTATCAATAAGGTCAAAAATATTTTAGAATATTTCATTTTGTGAAAAATGTCAAGATTTCTACTTTTTTTCTGATTGGGGACTAAATGAAATTTGGAAATTCTTGTGGGGTGGCAATTTCATTTTTTTACCAAAGCCAGGAGTTTAGGCCCCAGTCCTGCAGAACCTGCTGATTTGCTCTTCGGCTATTAGGCCTAATAGCCATCTCTGTGACCCTGCCTGTGACCTAGTAATTTGACTCTGACCTTGACCTGGGGCTCCAGTCTGGCCACAACCTCTGGTCTCTCACCCTAGCCTGATTCTGATCCTGACTCATCTGTTGATCTGGGACCCAGTGATTATCCTGATCCTGGCTTGCTGACTACTGTATTGTGCCAGGCCAGCTGTGACTTCTAGGTCACACTGCCTGTGCCCTGGTTCCCTTCCAATAGGAAACAAGCCTTCCCAAATCAAACAGTACTTTTTTCTAATGGAATGCTCTTCCCTTCTCTCTCAAATTTATTTTCGTTCTTTCCCCTATTGCTGTTAGCAGTTTAATCTCAGAACAGATTGTGTTTGAGCTGCCTGATGGAGACTAAGGGTATGTGTACACTACAATTAAACACCTGTGGCTGTTTAATCATCATTTCTTGCAATTTATTACCTAAGCTTATCATTTTAAAAACTCATGTGCTAATTGATAAAGCAGTAACTAGCCTTATCCCATTTAATAACAAAGGGAAGGAAGTATGCCCTGGTGATTTGAGTTAATTAAGAGGGCAAATGATATGAAATCTGTATGGTTGCAAATAGACTGAAGAAAATTTAGAGTTAAAGTTACAATTATTATAACTTCAGGTAGAGTTATATACTGTATACTGTATTGACTAATATATTGTTAAATTTGTTTAAAACTAAGGATCTAGAATTTTTCTTCATTACAGAATACAATACTTAGCTTACTTATATTAATACATCTTTACAGTTCTGTTTTATTGAATTACATTTTACAGATTGCAGCAGGAGCTACAGAGATATCAGTATTTGGTGCAGCATCTGAATCTTTCAACAAAATGAATATTAATTGTTCCATAGAAGAAAGCATAGAAAAATTTGAAGAAGTTACTAAATCAGCAAGAAATATGAATATTCCAGTGCGAGGGTAATTATAAAGCTTCATATGTAATCTCAATTTATGAACTGCAGTTTGCAATGTAACTTCATAGTCATATTGCTGTTGGTTAGCAAACAGAAATTGACATGATCAAATTCCATACATTTTAAATAACTTTTATTAATAGAATCTATTGTGTAACAATATTTTCTAAAAGCTCAAACATATTTTTGCTCTCTACATTTTAGCAACCATTGATAAATGTTGCTTTGTTCAGAAATGCAAAAACTAATTTTTATGTATTAGTTTATATCCTTTTTTATGCACTGTTGTTATCAATGCTGTTGCCACAAGTCTGAGAATAATGTTTGGTATGCGCTGTTATGTACCGTGACCAGTAGTAAGAACTCACAATATTGTTTTTTTTCTGAGTTATGAAAATAAACTAGGTGGGCTATATTTTTATTACTTGGAGGCAGTGAATCAATACATAGAAATTATATGATAAATTTCCGCCAGCAAAAAAACCCATGAGAGGGAGAAAAGTTACTCTAGAAACTCCAGGGGTTGAAACTTGCAGAGTTTCCAATGCATCATGCTCTTGACCTCTCAAGTATACTAATTTCTCCAGAATATCTCCTTTTCATAGAAATTTTGAGTATAAAGTTACAGCCCTCTTAACCATCCTTGTTTCCCTGTTCCATCTCCTGTCTCACTGTAAAGAGTTACAGGTTTCAGGATTTTCCCAGTTGTTCAATGACAGAAGCATAATTGGGAATGAATTTTGCATACCAGGAGGTAAGACCCAAGAATGAACATAAGGTTTGCAAATCTGTTGGAGGAGGAGCAATTGAAATTGCCAGGATATGATCTGGATCAGGTTTTAGTCCAACCTGTGAAATTGTATGCCCCAGAAAGGAGAGTTCAGTTAGTCTATATTTGCATTTAGACCTATTGAGCTTGAGGCCTGCTTTGCTGACGCAGTTTAGTACAGACTGCAGATTATTGTCATGCTCCTCAGAAGTATTTCCAGACACGATAATATCATCCAGATAGTACTGAACTCCATGTTGATTCTTCAGAATCAATGACATCATTTTTTGAAAGGCACTTGAGGCAGATGTGAGACCGTATGGAACACGTTTAAAACGAAATAGTCCCTCATGTAATAAATGCTGTGAGGTCTCTGCTATCTTCATACAACATAACCTGGTGGTATGCGCTCTGCAAATCAAGAGGAGAAAACATCTTTGCTCCACGGAGTTCTGCAAATATTTCTTCTATGTGAGGAAGAGGATGGCTGTCAATCACAATAGCTTTATTTGACTCCCTTAAGTCCACACAAAGGCGAATGCCTCCACCCTTCTTCTGTGTCACTACTATAGGTGAAACCCATTCCGAGGAGTCGATCTCTTCAATAGTGTCCTTTTGAACAAATTTTCTAAGTTTCTCTGAAACAGCTTCCCTGACTGAAAATGGTAAGCGCCGTAACTTCTGTCTTACAGGCATCATATTATTCCTCATTTTAACTTTATGCAGAAACCCATAAGCACAGCCGAGTTTCTCCTCAACCTGGTGTTGGGTCCCAGCTGAAACTGGTGTGTGTACCGCAAGAGTGCTTTGCTGAGGAAGATCAATTTGTCTGTTAACTACCCTGAGATTTAAAGCAGCCAATAAATCTCTGCCAAGGATAGGAGTGCCTTTGTGGACAATGTAGAACTCTGAAGTTACACAGCAATCATCAAAAGTAACTATTACTGGCAGGCAGCCATGTACTGGAATATGGTTTTTCAAATAGCACACCAAGTGAAGTTTGGGTTCAGTAAGAGGCACATCTTTAAAGTAATGCAGATAGATGGAATCAGGTAGAATAGATACTGCTGAGCCAGTGTCCAACATTAGCTGAATAGAGTGTGGTTTGCCTGAGGGTATGGCGGAAATGTTTACAGTGCACTTTATCTGTTCTGAAATATGTACAGTAGTGATTTTGTCCACGCTCAGCACAGTAACATCTGGTATTGTAACTGCATGTACTTGTTGATTGAACTGGCTGCTGCGACATACTTTAGCAAAATGTCCAATCTTTTTGCAATGATTGCACTGAGCTACTTTTGCTGGACGTCCTGGGTAGCTTGCAAGGTGTTGTGGGGATCCACAGTGAAAACATGCTTTTACTGTATTTTGAATTTGCTGATTCGGTGGTTTTTCATTAGTTTTCCTCTTGCAATTGTGTGTCTGCAGTGGTAGTGAACTTTTCTGCAAAGGAGTCACAACCTGGACTGTGCCTCCTGTATCTATGCTCATTATTTTGGCTTCAGCTGTAGCTGACTCAATCTGAGTAGCAATGGTTATTGCTTTTTCTAGTGTAAGTTGTGGTTCTAGAAGTAAGCATTCTCTTACATGAAGCATGGTTGTTTTCTCAATGAGCTGGTCTCTAATCATCTCATCTGCCATATTCCCAAAGTCACAAATTACAACCAGATTCCTCAGGGAAGCAATATACTGCATTATAGTTTCCCCTGGTTTCTGCTCACGCTGGCGAAATCTGTAGCGATTAGCTACAACATTCACTTTTGGCACAACAAAATTTTTTTAATGCAGTGAGTGCAGTCTCATATTTATCATCTGCAAGGGGAAAAGTGTAAAATATACGCTGCCCTTCTGCTCCAAAGCAGTGGATTAGCAGAGCACACTTTCTTACTTCAGAAATCTCTGTAGCACTGATTGCAAGCAGATAAGTCTCAAACATATGGCTCCAGGCAGTAAAAGCAATTGGAGGCTCACCTGGGCTTTGCAGAAAGGGTGCAGGTGGGTTCAGAGGGAGAAGATCCATCTTCGTCACCAAAATGTTGTATTAGCCAGGCAAGGTACTAACAACCTTCAACAGGACTTTATTTTCAAAGTGGAAACCTCTTTATCAAGCTGCTGCTGCACCCTCTGTAGCTTTCTCCCAGCCTCGCAACTCCTCCCCCCTCCTTCCTGTTTCCTGTCCTTTCAGACTCCCAACAGGCAGTGCTCCCAATTCTAATAATTACAAGCAACATCTAAACACCACAAGTAGAATCAAAGAAGGTAATTTATGAGGTACTATGGGTTTTTTGAGTGTTTCTGCATATTGACGATTATGAGATGTATTTCATAGAATCGTAGAAGATTAGGGCTGGAAGAGACCTCAGAAGGTCATCTAGTCCAACCCCCTGCTCAAAGCAGGACCAACACCAACTAAATCATCCCAGCCAGGGCTTTGTCAAACTGAGCCTTAAAACCTCTAAGGATAGAGATTCCACCACCTCCCTAGGTAACTCATTCCAGTGCTTCACCACGCTCCTAGTGAAATCGTGTTTCCTAATATCTAACCTAGATCTCCCCCACCGCAACTTGAGACCATTGCTCCTTGTTCTGTCATCTGCCACCACTGAGAACAGCCATGCTCCATCCTCTTTGGAATCCCCCTTCAGGTAGTTGATGGCTGCCATCAAATCCCCCCTCACTCTTCTCTTCTGTGGACTAAATGAACCCAGTTCCCGCAGCTGCTCCTCGTAAGTCATGTGCCCCAGCCCCTTGATCATTTTTGTTTCCCTCCACTGGACTCTCTCCAGTTTGTCCACATCCTTTCGGTAGTGGGGGGCCCAAAACTGGACGTAATACTCCAGATGTGGCCTCACCAGTGCCGAATAGAGGGGACTAATCACTTCCGTCAATCTGCTGGCAATGCTCCTACTAATGCAGCCCAATATGCTGTTAGCCTTCTTGGCAACTGTTAGGATATAGATATTCAGGCCTGTCTGTAAAGGCCTATACTCTAAGAATTTAGGTGTATTCTTATCACTTAGCTAGTTATAGAGGTATAAAAGAAAGAATCAAAATCACTATCTGCCAGTGTAAGGGCCTTCTCTTTCTGTGACAGTCTGACGCCCTGTTCTTAGGCTAAGGCCTTTGGCTAAGCCGCAGAGGCAGTCATAAGCTGGGAAGTGAACGGACAGATCCTCACATTCCAAACTAGTCACACTGAAATAAGGTGCTATTGGGCTGTTAGGAATACACTCCTGTCCTGATAATGCCTATTGCCTCCAGAGAAAGGGAAGTGCCTAGAAGATGTAAAAGGAAACTTAGTTTGATAGCATCCTGTCTGGCAAGAATTCACTTATCAATAGCTGGGATGTGAAATCCTCATTTCTTTGTTGTTCTATCACTATAGTCCCCATTTCCCTATTGTTTGTCTATATAATTGCTGTCTGGTTCTGTTATTGTTTGTCTGCTATATAATTAATTTTGCTGGGTGTAAACTAATTAAGGTGGTGGGATATAATTGGTTAAATAATCATGTTACAATATGTTAGGATTGGTTAGTTAAATTTCAGTAAAATGATTGGTTAAGGTATAGCTAAGCAGAACTCAAGTTTTACTGTATAGTCTGCAGTCAATCAGGAAGTGTGTGGGGGGGAATTGGAATCATGTTTTGCTAAGGGGGGGGAATGGGAACAGGGACACAGGTAAGGCTCTGTGGTGTCAGAGCTGGGAAGGGGGACACTAAGGAAGGAAACTGGAACCATGCTTGCTGGAAGTGCACCCCAATAAACATCAAATTGTTTGCACTTTTGGACTTCAGGTATTGTTGCTCTCTGTTCATGTGAGAAGGACCAGGGAAGTAAGTGGGTGAAGGAATAAGCCCCCTAACAGCAACGGGGGCACACTGCTGACTCATATTCAGCTTCTCATCCACTGTAATCCCCAGGTCCTTTTCTGCAGAACTGCTGCTTAGCCAGTCGGTCCCCAGCCTGTAGCGGTGCATGGGATTCTTCCATCCTAAGTGCAGGACTCTGTTGAACCTCATCAGATTTTTTTTTAGTCCAATCCTCCAATTTGTCTAGGTCACTCTGGACCCTATCCCTACCCTCCAGCATATCTTCATCTCGCCCCAGCTTCGTGTCATCTGCGAACTTGCTAAGGGTGCAATTTATCCCATCATCCAGATCATTAATATAGATGTTGAACAAAACTGGCCCCAAGACTGACCCCTGGGGCACTCTGCTTGATACCAGCTGCCA